GCCACAGTAAGGCAGGGATGGAGGTGGAGGAGGTGGGATCAAGGTGGAGATGGAGAAGATGGAGGTGGAAGAGAGAGGTGGAGGAGGGGGGATCAGGATGGAGCTGCAGGAGATGGATGTACAAGCGGAGGAGAGGAAGAGGGTGCTGTAAGTGGACATGGAGGGTGGAGGAGACAGAGATGGATGTGGAGGAGGTGGGATTGGAGTAGAGGTGAAGAAGAGGAAGGTGGAAGTGCAGGAGGTAGGGGGGATGAGATGGATGGAGGTGGAGGTGATGAGACAGGAACAGAGATGGAGAGAAGTGGAGATGGAGGTAGAGATGGAATTAGGATTGGGTCAAGGTGGAGGAGGGGGAGGAGGAAGGTGGAGGAGACTATTCCTTGCTGGAGGGCTGTTCCAGCCCAAGGCCCTTGCTGTGCCACTGCTGGTGCTGTGGCTGTCACCCTGCTTGACCCATGTTGTCACCCAGGCACACAGCAGCCTTGGGCATGGCAGGTTCCCTGGGGCACCCATGGGTGCTGGCAGTGACATGGACAGGACCCCTGGCCCTACACCCAACTGCAGCTGGGAGGGGGTGGGAGCCCCAATAAGAGTGACCACCCCAAGCCTGAAGCTGCCCCATTCCATGGGACCAGGCCCATGACAGCCCACATAAAGCATCAAACCATCATTTTATCACCCAAACCCACCCTAAACCCCACTTCCTACAGCCCTCTGAGAGTCTCTGTCCTAAACCCACCACCCCGAATCTGGGCTGGGACCACCCCAAGCCTGGTGCTGCCCCATCCTGTGGGACGGGGAGCACAACAACATGCACACAGCAAACCCCATCAGCTTATTCAACCACTAAATCCCACTTCCTACACCAAAGTGCCTCTCACAGCTCGAGTCCTAAATCCAGCAGTGGGCACCAATCCAGTGCCGGGCTGGAACCAGCCCAAAATCCAGGCTGGGACCAGCCCAGGTTAAATGCTGCCTCATCCCATGGAACCAGAACAATGACATCCCACACAAAGCAAAATCCCCATCATTTTATCCCTCCAACCCTCATTAAACCCCATTTCCTACAGCAAAGTGCCTTCCAAGAGCCCATGACCTAAATCCATCAGTCGGTACAAATCCAGTCCAGGACCACCTGAATTCCAGTCCAGGACCACCCCAAATCCACGCTGGCACCACTCCGAATCCAGGCTGGGACTACTCCATGCCTGGTATTGCCCCATCTCATGGGACCAGGACCAGGACATCCCTCACTAACCCCACCCCGACCCTCCTCCACCCCAAATCCTCCCCCCACAGCCCCGGTTAAAGCCGGCCCGGTGCTGCCGGGGCAGGAAGCAAACGCCGGTGCCTCCGGGCAGTTCTCAGCGAGTGGCACACGGATTTATTGGATTTATTGATTGCTTCGGGGTGCTGGTGCCCCCCGGGTGCCCACCTGGGGCGAGGGGCACGGCGCGAGCGGGGCGGGGGCGAAGCGCTGCCATTTCCATCCTCCCTCTCGCACCGGCTGGGCGGGAATGGCTCCAAATAAAACAAATCTCTCTATAGTTTCTCTCTCTATATATACAAATATATAATATATATATATCTCTGCCGATATATATATATATAGAATCTTCTCTCTCTGGAAAGGATAAAAGGTTAATTTGTCTGTGCATGCACGACCAAAGCCACCAACCCACAGGGACAGCGGGTGCCAAGGGACGTGCACCCTCACCCGCCAGCACCCCGAGAGCCCGGGGGGGGGCCACATCCTGCACGTGCCCAGGTTATTGCTGGTCAGGTCCCATCCTGCTCCGGCAAACAAGCGGTGGGGGAAGAAGCCGAAGGAACGAAATCCCACTGCAAAGCGCCGGCGAGCTCGTTGTCACCTGGCTGGTGCCCAGTGGCACCCGCCGCCGGGGCACGGAGGAGGTGGTGGCGTCGCCCCAGGACGGTGGGTGCTGCGGGGCGGGGGGTGCAGGCACCCGGTCGAAAGGCAAAGTCTGGATAAGGCGAAAAAAAATGAAATAAAGAACAGCGACCGCCCCCAAACCGGGCGCTTTGCCACCCAAAACTGGCGCGCCCGTGGCCCTCGGTGCCGGTGGCCGGTGCTGGCCCCGGGGTGCCGCACGGATGAGCTTGGGGACAGGGACACTGTCATAGGGCTGTGCTCTCTGATTCCTCCTCCTCCTCCTCCTGCCGGGGGGTCAGGCTCGGCCCCGAGAGTCTCTGCGCTGCCTCCGGCGGGTCCCGGCACTGGGCAGCATCCGGGGGGACGTGGAGGGAGGGGACCTCAAAACGGAGCAGACCTGCGGGAGGGCACAGTGATGGGGGACACTGCGGCGGGGGCTCGGGGGCAGGACACCCGCCGGGGCTGGCACCGTGTTAGTGCCACCACCAGGGATGTCACCCCGCTCCATGCCACCCCACCCGAGCCGGTGGTGACACCAGCTGCCCCGCCCCTCCCAGGGGACCCGCAGGGCGAGGCTGTGTGATGACAGAGGGTGACCATGTCACCATGTCACCATGTCCCTTGCTGAGAGCGGAGCAACCCCAGGTGGGCAGGAGCTCCTGAGGGCACATGGCAGGGGAGCTGCCCCCGTGCCAGGGGCAATGCCAGGTTGTGATGTCAGGGCTGCACCCATGCCAGGGTGCAGTGCCAGGGTGCAGTTCCAGAGCCACAGCAATGCTGGTGCCACCCAAAGGCAGGTGGCAGTCCCTGGGGAGTGCTCTGCCCCACAGAGTGCCCGGGGCTCAGTGCTGCCCGCGCTGTCCCACCCCCTGCGGGCAGGACGGGCACACAGGGACAGAGCCCTCTGCCCCACCAGACCCCGTGGGGGCTTCCTGACCCCGCACTTGCCCAGCCCCTGTGTCCCTCGGTGTCCCTGATGTCACCTGGCCATTCCCAAAGCATCCCTCTGACTGTGCCTCTCCAACAGCCCCCACTGCTGCAGGGACACGGGGCGGGGGGTGGGACACGCGACACCAACAAAGCCCAGGGACATCAAGGTCAGAACAGCAGGAACGGCAGGAACAGCAGCACAGGCTCATGGGGCTTCCCAGGGACAATGCCACCTTCCTGGGGACACTGCCAACTTCCAAGGGACATAGCCAAGTGCCCGACTACATTCCCGGGCTCATAACCACCTTCCTCAGCACAGTTCCACTTTTCCAGAGACATCACCACCTTCCTGAGTACATGGCCACCCTCACAGGGGTGTTGCCACCTTCCTGGGGACACTGCCATCTGCCTGGGGCCATTGCCACCTTCCTGGGGCCAGCACAACCTCTCTGTGGCCAGTTCTGCCCTGCCAGTGATACAGTCACCTTCCTGGAGACATCACCACCCTCCTGAGGATGCTGCCACCTTACCAGTGACCCACCCACCCTTCCAGGGACACTGTTACCTTCCTGGGGACAATGCCACCTTCC